TTAAAATGTTAGAAAAGAAAACTAAGTTTAATATTTCAAAATGTGTGACCTATCTGTACGTAGACTGGGCATCCCATATAACCTGGCTGAGCCAATATAAAACAATCAGCCAAATAACTTTTCAATACATTATTGATTACTATTTTTGAGGTACTTTTAGGTTGGCAGTAAACATAAGTCGGAGGTAAATGGTGTACTTTGACTCCACTACATGTATTTAATACCTTTAGTTACTTTACAGATGTGGATGAATGATGTGAAATATAATCAAGTGTTAAATCAGACTTTAGTTCCACCTGGAGTAAATTCACAAGCTACTCTGTAGTATACAAAGTCATTCAAACTAGCTGCAACTTTACCAGCTTTGATAACACTTTCATGATCAATCATTATAAAACATATCATATACAATTATTAGGGATGCTCCGATCGCCTATCACTCTCATCAGAATGCCCAGGTCACACACGTAACAAAAACACTTGCCGGTCACGCGCATTGCGCGGGAAGGCCGGAGCGGAGCTGTTTTATGTAAAAGCGAAGCAATTAAGCGCGCTCCGACTTCTTTATTTTCTTTTAATCTAAAAAGCGAAGTAAAGCATTTACAATTTCAAGCACTTTATCCCAAATTCAAGCACCATTCCCAAAATTCAAGCACTTTTCAAACCTTGAAAACACCTCGTACAATTTCAAGCATTTTCAAGGATTTCCAGCACCCGTACGCACCCTGTACATTAAGCAATATTAATTGTATTGTGTAAGTTTATTTCCTACAGTTAGTATTACTTACCAAACACTCCAGAAGAAACTTGGTTGTGTCATCTCGGACAAAAATGGGCAGGCCTCTCAGTGCTGCTGTCTTTCCGTGAGACACAATGTCGGATGTCTAAGGAGTACCCAGTGGAAACACACAAACATATCAATTAGTTTAGTGCCGTAGTGAATTTATACAAAATCTGACGTTCTGAGGAGGATAAAGAACAGGTCAGATCCCAGTAACATGCTTCAGTAAAAGACTGGCAAAATAAAACAAAACAAAAACTGCAATCCTGCGGACAATTCTACAAATTAAAAATACTGTTACAGTTCTCAAATTCCACCAACTAAAAACACCAAGCAATGACTTTTAACAATCCATTTTTACTGAAGCCTTTCCATCTAAGCGTTTTTGCTCCTACAAATGTTAGGCGAAGGAGCATTTCATATTTTCAAACGGGGGGACCAAAGGGCTTTGGTGGACCCGGCTCCGGCCATTTTCCCCTCAACTTTTGCATGCTCTTAGATTGAGGCACTTCACTCACTTGTTCATCACATTTTTCCAAGAAGTCTTCCATCTTCTGTCCAAAAGCTCCCTTCCTAGCCCGGTACAGTTTCAGCAGGCAAGGCACATGTTTGTCAAAGGCTCCACCGAACGTCCCCAGGAGGTCTTTGCTGATCTGATGAAATTCTTCAGATATCTGAAAAACAGAAATTACAAAACAATGTAATTTGATTGAAACCACAATGTCATGTTTTTTTCTGTGCAGCAAATTCCTGGGTAGCCGTCTTGTTCAAAGTCTGCACCATCTTAAGGGGATAGTTTGGATGTTTTGAATTGAAAAAAAAACTGGTATTACAATTTTGGGGACTGATTGGAAAGTGGGGCGTAGTGTGTTGGAGGGGCCTGTAGTGGAGTGGTAGGGCAGGGTATAGTATAGTTTGCCAATTAACTGACATACACAGTCAGTGTGAATACAGGGCCAGTTCGCACCTTTTCCGTGACCAAGGCGACAATGTTTTAGAAGAGTCTCTTGATTGGAGCGTGCACTGCATGTGATCCACCCCTGAAACACAAGAGAAACATATAGGACATTCAGTTCAGAAGATATCATTTTTTAAACTTTTAATTTGTTAGTTTTCATCCTTTCCTTATATACTTAGTAGGACTTAACAAAAAAACGATTTAAAACTCAGTTAATGGGGTTAATTTTTTAATTGCTTCAGTTTATCATCGTAACAGAACGTTCGGATTCATTTTACAATAAATCAATAAATGGTATTCTTCTACAAACAAAAAACAAAACAATTAATACATTTAAACAAACCACTAATAGTATATGAACTACTTAATTCAAAATTAACATTCACTTTAGATAATAACACCGGTATAATAAACGGAGCGCTCTCTTTTCCTCTCTCTCCCTCTCCTGACAGCCAGTCAGTATCTCATGCAGCTCGCTACTCTAGTAATGAGTTACCCCGACAGTGAAGAATAAACATATGTATAACTAGTTTAGCTAGTTCCAGAGGTAGATAAAATAGCTAAGTGTGTTTGGTCTAACTTGAAACGTGTGTTTTGCTCCGCTCACCGGTCCGTCAGCGGCTGAGCTTTAAGTGAGCACCGAGCTGCGTGACCTAAACAATAAGTGTGTTGCTTGGCAACGGGGTGTTGCGGCAAAGTATATATTTTTTCTCTCTCTCTTAATTCCCCAAGCCCCAAAATTCACTCGATGATTAATATACCCGTTTTAGGAAAAGTCACGAAGTTTGAGATGTGTTTTACCCTCAACTAAACAACAAGACCTGTAACACAACAATGTCAGAGTCACTGGCTGCCGGCTACCCCAATAAACAGACGTTAATAACCGGTGTAACGGCGGAACAACAATGCCCCCCCCCCCCCCCATTCCGTGTATCGTCACATACACACAAGTTCTGTATAAAACGTATGAACATGGCTCACAGCGAAAATGTATAACACATACATTAACGCCATGGTCTACATGCGCTTGTATGTCGCTGCCATGTTTCGACGGGGAAAATGTATTCAAGGCTGGCCTGTAAAAATACAAGTCACGGCTAAGTTTCAACACAGCGGCAACGTTGTCATATCCCAATCAATGCTGTGTGTAAAGTTATAGCGTTATATGTCTGGCTCGGTTTACTATAACACCGGTCGTCTCACCATCTAAATGCATTATAAACGCCTTCAGGTGCTTGAACATAAATTCAACGCCATCTGTAGCTAAGCTAGCAAACCTAACTGTGGTATCTATCTTTTGGTTTAAATAGTACAGTGCACTTTACTGTTAACATTCCTTGTTAGGTAAAACACACACTTACCTGATTAGGCAAACGAGGTAGACAAATGTCCCAAGAATCCCCAACTCCACATCCAAATTCGGCCACACCGTTGAATGATGTGTCTGACAAATTCACTCAGCGACGGGACCCTGCAGAAACCCCGTAGACGAAAGCAATGCGCATGCGCGCAGCCGGTGTGACTCTGCATAGCAAGCAGTTGACATTCAAATGTAAATATTAACTATTCTGATTGGAGGGGAGAAAATAAATATTTTAAAGAAGGAGAACTCTGATTGGTCGCTCATTTCATATATGTATGGTACAGAGCTTCGTGACCGCGGATTGGAGGGAAATTACAAAAATATTTTAAAGGAGAGCTGTGGTTGGTCGCTCATTTTTTAAAATTCGATATACAGTATAGTTTGGTTAAACCAGAGACTGTCCTCTCTTTCATCTTATATTGTCTGGGGTGAGTGATCATTCCTCTTGTTAATTCATTGTGAAGCTGGTTAAAGCAGAATGTCTAAAATAAGGAGCTTATTTTTGTCATTTATGAACAAAGGAAAGCTGGTTAAATGATTCCATAGCTTAAATAAAGTAATTTTTTGAGTCATTCAACTATGAACAATTAAATATATTTCAAGGTATACTATATTCAACGTTGGAAGAAGTAATCAGATCCTCTACTTTAGTACAAGTACTCATTAGCACAATTGTTAGCTAAATGTACTCCAAATATCAAAAGTAAAAGTACTCTTTATGCAGAATTCATATTTTCACAGAATGATATTATGGTAATTGTATTATCCTGTTTTTATAAATGCAAGAGCATTTAAGCATTTACAACGTGGACCAAATGTTTAATCACCATGTGTGCAAGCATTGTGTTTGCAAGGTTTAATTTTAATTTTAATTTCACAGAGTGACGACTATTGAGCAGTTCATTACTGGTGAGTGTTGGTCAAAGACAGTGTTTGTAGTAACATATACCATGACAATATGTGGAACTTTCCAGTCTTTTCTTTGCAGGGTTTAATGCTGTGTTTTCCCCACAGATTGACAGCTTTGAGCAGTTCTCTACCGGTGAGTTGTGGTCCAAGACACTGTCAGTAGCATAAAGTATAATGAAAACAGTTAGGCCCTTTATTAGTGTAAATCTAAGTGATTAGCAGCTTCTAATACAATTGATAATTTTTTTGTTTATAACTATTGTATGCTAAGCTATGCGATTGTATTGTACATTGTGTTAAGTAATTATATTTCCATGTCTGTGATGCTGATTAGTTTCTTCTCTGTTCTAGTTAAACAACCTACCGGCTTGACCAGCTACCCATCTACCTACTCATCTACCTTCTTCACTAGCTACCCATCTACCTTCTTCACCACCTTCTCATCTAGCTTCTTCACCAGCTACCCATTTAACTTCACCGGCTACTCATCTACCTTCAACACCCAGCTTTATCTCGTGAGCAGTTACAGTAAGTACATTTTTGTTGAACAGGATGCATCAACTATTAATGGACTTGTATGCTTTTGTTGCAGTTGAAATAAGTAATTGTGTAATTATTTGTACTATTTAAGGGGTCTGCTAATGTCTTTATTAATTCTAACAATGCCTACATACTTTCAGATGCCACGTGGTAAATCGTCCCGCCGTTCCCAGGCTGCAAAGCTACGCGTGGCTGGGACACGTGTGGGGCATCAGCAGTCTGGCAATGCCAGTTTCGCACGTAAGTAGTCGAGGATTTTGTCATTCAATTTTGTATATGTTTAGGGTGTCCATTTTGGTTGTATCATTGTAAAATGTGTTTGCATGTGCATTTTTTACAGGCAGGCTCGGGCACATATACACCCCTCTGTGGGCAAGCGAGCTAGTTATGATGAGGAGAATTGACTGAAATACACTTCATTTCTTTGCATTCATTTTTAGATAACTATCATGAAGCAGTGTTTGAAACATGGATTTGTTTGAAATATATACATTTTAAAATTCAATCACCGGTAGGACCCTTTATGCATTTGAGCCCTTTCCCTTCTAAAATCCTCTGCACGTGCCCGTTTACAGGTGTTATTGTAGGAAGGTGTGTTATTATTGCTTACATAATTTAAGAATTGTGAAGGTTCATTAAGTTTAATGTCGGTGTCATTTTCTCTGTTTTTAAATAGCCGCTGGCGGTACGGGTAACCGCCATAGAGTGCAGAAATGGCCAATTTCGTCCCTGACCGGACGACAACACAAATTGGTCATACCAGCCGAGTCTCCAGACAAGGAAGTATGAATTGTTTTCAGATTTTGTTAACAAAGTCTGGGTAATCATTAGTGATTTTCATTTGAAATAATGTCTTCTGTTGTTACAGTTTGTCCTCCTTGTTGGAGCTTCACATCTCCGTTCCATCGTCGATGGAATTGTGCAGATGCCAGAGGGAAGGTTTTCCTTTGGTGCCATGTCCACACCGGGGGCATGCGCAACCCAGCTGCGAACCGAGGCAGCCAATGCTGTGCTGCCTAGGACACCAGATGCAGTCTGTGTGATGGCTCCGAGCAACAACCTGACATCCAGTAGGACCATCACTGAAGCAGGAGAGGACTTTGCGAAGCTCCTCGCGACTGCCTGCAGTCGCTGGCCTAACGTAAGCTTATTTTTTATTGTATTTATTATAGTTCTTATAAAATTACATTTTGTATTCTTATTGATGTGGTTGTATGTTTATGAATTTCTGAAAAATTGACATTTTTATCAACAAATTGTGAAAAATAGCGTACCTTTGTAACTTTGATTAGGTTTTTGCCATGGACTTCCCCCCGCGCCTTACCGTTGACCCTGACTACCAAGACATGATGCGTCAGGAATTTCGTCGTGTTGCGGCACGTATGGGTATGTTTAACAAATATTTAGGTTCAAGTACTACCGTAAATAATTTTTATCATTTTCCTATTTTTCATTATTCTTTGTTTTAAAAGAGCAAAATATAATATCTGTGTGGATATGTTAGTAATTGATCTTGTTGTTTTTTTTAGACGTGAAGTACACACCGCTTGCAGAGTACTTCCCTTTCAAAGAATTTGACCTGTGGAGCAGAGATGGCGTGAGTGACATGGCAAATGGAAACGTTTTCTCTGTATACTTGTTTGTAGCTGAAATTCCAAGTTCCGTTCTTGAAAAAACATATTGAAGGTTATGTGCTATTTGTAAATGTATTTGTATTTGCTGGTTTTTGCAGGTGCACTTGAGTGACAGTGCGGGAATGCCAATCCTGGTCGGTTCTATCTGGAACGCAACATACATGCAACTTGTTCCAGCCGAGCCGAAGCCATCTCCTGTTGTCCACAGAAGATCAACGCCTGCGAGGAGAGTCACTCCAAGGGTGATTGTCAAAGGAGAGGTTGCCAAATCACCGCAACTGGATCCTTCCAAGTGGACCGTGGAGGATTAATCATTTTGTTTTCCTTACGTTAGAAAGCAAAGTTGGAGCTGAAGCAGAGGGCTCCTGCCTCCACGAAAACCCTGGCAAAGCGACAGGTTGTTCTTGTTTTCTTCTTTTTTAAAGGCAATATAGGACTTGTTTAAAACTAAGAAGTTACACGAATATCGGTGGTGTTATTTATTCTCAAGTTTACTAAATTGTTTTGTTTTTTTAGGGGGAGGCAGCTCCCATGGTTGTGGAGGTGATTTTACGGCCACCTACCAGTAGAGGGACAGTTGCTGTGGAGCAGCAGGTCTGTGCTCTTTGTGTGAACGATGTGCTTTCAGAGTGACATTTGAATGAATCATGCTAATTTATTGACATAGTTACTTTTGCTCATTGTTAAAATAAAATAGTTTCAGTTGTTAGCCTGCATGCAGTCAACGTTGTTTCAAGTGTACACAATCAATGACAAGAAACCTCTCTTTTGAGTTCCATTCAATATGTGTGTGGGTAAGTAGAAAAACAAAAGTTAATATATAACAATAATCATTTTGTATTAGTAATTGTATATCTTTCTATTATTTAGTTAAACGTTTGTGAAACAATTTAAGACACATAGTGTTTTTAGCAGTTTTTTTATATATTAATTTTCTTCTAGGAGGAGCCATTGCCGGGGTTGGAGCCATTGCCGGGGTTGGAGCCATTGCCAGGGTTGGAGCCATTGCCAGGGTTGGAGCCATTGCCAGGGTTGGAGCCATTGCCAGGAGTGGAGCCATTGCCCCGCGTAGAGCCATCACTGAGCGTGGAGCCATCATCCAGCAAGGAGCCATCACCCATCGTGATAGTGGATGTTGATGATGACAACAGATGGAGAACAGGTAAGGGCTATGCTTGCATGTGTTCAGAAAAAGTGCAGCTGGCTGTTGTCGCAGGGACTGATGTGAGGTATGCATCCGTTTCTGACAATACAATATCTGTTGCATGTTCTATAGCGGCTGCGATCAAACATTTGATTGCGCCTGTGTGTTCGTGGAGCAGTACAGATATCAATGCCATACGTGTTGCAGGGTCAAAGCTTAACTCGTTTGTATTAGGGGAAGCCCATAAAATGAATGTAAAGCCAAAGAACTTGTGCAGGTTGGTTGAGCAGACCAGTGTGTTTGGACGTAAGTGGAACGTCAATATGGGTCTGCCAGTGTACGGCGAATTGAATTTGTCTGAAGGGGAACAGGTATTGTCGGAGAAGCTGCTTGAACACTTATCCAGGGATGGCATGTGTCTGTTTAGCCTAAATTCCGCAGCCAGTGTCATTATTAAACACAATGACTGTATTGTGGTCGTTGATTGTGGCACACGTGGTGCGTCTGGGTTAGCATCCAGTTTTGGCACATCTGTAGCCGTGTTCAACACATGCCTTAATGACCTGATGTTTTACATCAGGAATCTCAATAATTCATTGAATGCACAGAAGTTTAGCATTACAAGCCTTTCTGTGAAAGCAGCTGAAGTTAATTCGGAGACGGCTAGAGTCATTGATGGGGATATGGGGTGTGTCAGGGGAACATTCAGTCAGGGTGATCAACGCTTTAAATATGCAGGACTTCAGTGCATGGCTGTAAGTTTGGTAGGCATAGCCAAATACAAAATTGACAGCGTGTTTACATGGCAGACCGACAACCTGGATAAAGTTGTTGTACTTGGTGACAATCTGTACACCTCCCTGCGTGACCAACAAGGTATCAGTGGAGGATACAGACTACTTTTGGTTCCAGATCTGCCCAAGGAGACCATTATCGACGGACAAAGATTTCTGTTTCAATACAGTGACTTTGTGTCTGGAGATGTGGATGTGGTTGAGGGGGATCTCATTGATGAGGGTGTGCACACCACTTTAAAATACGGACTGGAAAGCATGTGTAGTAACTATCACACATGCTTTCTGACAATGAATGGCGCTACATGTGCCATCATTGGTCAAGGTGGACACTACGCAGTGGTCGACTCCCATGCACACAGTGCGTCTGGGATGAGCGATGGCGAGGGGCGTAGTGTTGTTCTGTATTTCAGAGGCCTTGAACACGTGTTTGAATACATATGGACATTTGCAGCGTTCCTCAAGAAGTCTCAAAAACAGTTTGAGATCGCTGGTGTCCGAGTCACTCACATAGGCCCAATTGAAAGCAGTAATCTGTCTTTGGGTCCAAGAGTGACTCCCAAAACGACAGAGACTGATTTGGGTTGTAGTTCAGCTATTCAGTTCACACTTGGCTCCACCAACATTCAGATGGGTGCAAAGCATAACATTCCAAAGGGATCTTCTGAGTCTCAAAAACAGTTTGAGATCGCTGGTGTTCGAGTCACTCAAATAGGCCCAATTGAAAGCAGTAATCTGTCTTTGGGTCCAAGAGTGACTCCCAAAACGACAGAGACTGATTTGGGTTGTAGTTCAACTATTCAGTCCACACTTGGCTGCACCAACATTCAGATGGGTGCAAAGCGTAAGATTCGTAAGGGATCTTCTGCTTGCAAAAAATGTAAAAAGAGTGATGTTACCGCAGTTAATTCAGACGTTGCTTTTGTCAAAGAAGTAAGAAGTGGACGACTGCAGTTTAATCCTCTTAGTCATCAACTTGCACAAGCTCTTTGTGAGCAGTTACATGTGCAGTCAGAGAAAGTAGATTTTGTGTCTACACAAATTGGTTTGATAGGGGCTCCATGTCTCAATGAAAAAATAGAGGGTGACGGAAACTGTTTCTTTAGAGCAGTGAGTCAAGCTGTGTGTGGTACACAAAGGCATCACACAATAATTAGGCGTGCAGTGGTTCATCAAATGCAGAGCAATGCTGTGCCTTATGAGCGTATTTTGACCTCCTCCATGTCAGAATACCTCAGCACATCCAAAATGCGTGAGGTTGGCAGTTGGGCAACAGAATTAGAAATTCAAGCAGCAGCAGATGCGTTTGGAGTTAATATATTCACATATTGTGATCCACGCTGGCTAAAATATAGTTGCGAGAACGGGCAGTTGTCTAATCAGGGGGTTTATTTGGAAAACCGCAATGGTAATCATTATGAGACTGTTGTGTGTGTAAAACAACCTAATTTGCAGAGTTGTTATGGGTATTGCAAATTTGACACTTCTTGTCCAAGACTGTACAATGTCAGACGGACAACTAGAGGCAAAAGGAGGGTTACGGAACAAACGCATGGTACATCGTCTGCTGGGGACACAGATTGTGTGGAAAAGAGTGATGTAAGTAAAATCACTCTTGAATTTAATCCTTTGTGCAATGAAGTGGCAAAAACACTTTGCACAAAGTGTAATATAGACTTTGAAAAGCAGGATGTACAGGGACCTACAGTAACTGGGTCCCTAGGTGTGGTCTGTAAGACCGAAAAAATAAAAGAGGACGCTAATAGTTTCTTCGGAGCGGTAGCTCATGTTCTCAGTGGTTCTCAGAAGAGCCATGGAAAGATTAGAATGACTGTTGTAAAGCATATGATGAATCACGCAGAACAAACTAAAGTAGTTGGGGGATCTGCTTCAATTTCAGACTACATTGAGAAGTCTCGGATGAAGTATGTAGGACATTGTGCCACAGATGTAGAAATCCAAGGGACAGCAAATGCTCTTGGAGTGGACATTTTTATCTGCAGTGGGGAAAAATGGCTCAAATACACTTGTAATTGTGCAATGCTTTCAAAAGAAAAAATATACTTGAAACATTGTGATAAAAATCATTTTGAGCCAGTGGTTTGTATCAAACCTTACGATGAACAAAGGTGCTTTGAATTGTGTAAAGTGGGGGGGTTTGTCAGAGACACGGTCTATGCGTAGCAGTGTCGATATCTGTACTGGGAAGGGTGGGGTTAAAGACAATGCAGAGAGTGTTGCCAGCTGTAGTCGTAGGCACTGTCGTTCAACATACCAGTGTCGATATCTGTACTGGGAAGGGTGGGGTTAAAGACAATGCAGAGAGTGTTCAAATCAAATCAAATCAGGTTTTATTTATAAAGCACATTTAAAAGTGATTTTTGGTCGAGCCAAAGTGCTGTACATGTAATAAAAACACATTACTACAAAACACAATAAACGACAATAAATTACAACAGATATAACTTAAAAAACAAAATAAGAATAAAACACACGGAATAGTCAGGAGTCGTGCTCCGCTCTAACTAGAAAGCCAGAGAGAAGAAGTGTGTTTTTAGTTTTGATTTAAAAACCCCTAGGGTCTGGGCCGACCTCACATGGAGGGGCAGAGTGTTCCAGAGCCTAGGGCCAGCTGCTGCGAAGGTTCGGTGCCCTCGGGTTTTTAGCCTGGTCTTGGGCACTATCAGCAGCAGCTGGTCAGCAGACCTTAAAGCTCTGGCTGGGGTGTAGCGCTGGAGCAGTTCAGTTATATAGGCCGGAGCCAGCCCATTTAGGGCTTTAAAAACAAATAAAAGGATTTTAAAATCAATTCTGAACCGAACTGGAAGCCAGTGTAGTGAGGCCAGAATAGGGGTGATGTGGTCGCGCTTTTTGTGACCAGTCAGCAAACGTGCAGCAGCGTTTTGGACTAGCTGTAAGCGGTTGATTGAGGCCTGGTCCATACCCACATACAGAGCGTTACAATAGTCCAGTCTCGAGGTTACAAAGGCGTTAATAACCCTTTCTAAGTCTTTAAAAGATAAATACGACTTGGTTTTGGCCAATAGTCTTATTTTAAAAAAGCAGGATTTTACTACGGTGCTGACCTGCTTGTCAAATTTAAAAGTGCTGGTGAATGTCACTCCAAGGTTCATGACCGAGGGGAGGATGTTTTTTTTGATAGAGCCCAGAATATCAACCGGAGAGGCTGGAGGTTGCGGTCCAAAAAAGATGACCTCGGTCTTGCTCTCGTTGAGGTTGAGGAAGTTTTTGCTCAGCCAGGATTTTATCTCTGCTAAGCAGTCCATCAGCTGCTGTAGTGAGTGTGTGACATTTGCTTTGAGAGGCAGATATATCTGTACATCGTCGGCGTAGCAGTGGAAGGGAATGTTAT